CTCATTATATAATCTTTTTGTTAATCTTTTATTTAGTATAAATTTAATTATTATTTAATTTTAATAGTTATATTAAATTATTATTTATATTTTCATATTTTGTTTTGATAAAAAAAATTAAATCTGTAAACTCCTCTTCATACTTATTTATATCATTTTTTTAATCATATTTATTTTCTATATATAAATAATTTTATAATTTTAATTTTAATTAAAAATTCTATTAATAAATTTTTATTTTTATTATATTTTATTTAATATATTAATTAATTTAAATTTTTAATCTTAAATTTAAAAATTTAATATAATAATTAAATAAATATATATATAATAAATTTAATTATTTTATTTAATTATTAAATCTTTTATTATTTTAATATATTTTTATTTTAATTTATTATCAATCTATTTAATTTAATTTATATTAATATTAAATTTTGTTTAATTTTATATACTTTAAATTTTTAATTAAATATCATAATTTTTTTTTTATATTAAATTTATATATTTTATAAACTTATTAAGAATTCATAAAAAATCATAGAATAACATAATTTAGATTATATTAATAATATGTTATTATTTAATTATTTTTAATAAAAAATATTAATAAATATCTTAGAATATCCATTGTTTTGATTATTAATTTTAGTTTACTTATATTTTTATAAAATTCTTTATATTATTATTTTAAAAAACTTTCTATTTATAAAATTTATATTTTTATATTTTCGAATTAACTATAATTATAAAAAAAATTTTTTAAATATTATATTTTTATTAATTCTTTATCTTTTATATATAACTATTATTCGAATTTTAAATTTTTTTTTAATTATAATAATAATAAATAGTAAATATAAAAATAAATATTTTATTTAATATAATTTGAATTTATAATTTTCTAAAATTTATAATTTTAATTATACAAATGAATTCATATTACTTCTTATGTTTACTAATCAAGAAACTAATAAAAAATTACCTTATCTTTCTCTTATTAATTATTCATATGGTTAAACATTTAATTAAAATCATATTCTGTGGATATTATCATATTTTTATTATTAATATTTCTATCTTTTTTTAAATTATTGAATCTTTGATATAATTTAAATATAGTTTTAACTGGAATTAATATTTTATCTATAATCATTAATACAAAAACTCTTCTTCATGTTTACTAAAAATGCATTTTATTTTTTGTCTTTCAATCCAATTTATATAAATACTTTCATCTTATCAATTATTAACTTCTAGTATATAAAAATACTATCTATAAATTTTTATTATATAAAGGGCATGTGATTGTTAGCTACTTCTATTTGATTTTTTTCAAACAATCGATCTTTATATATAATTATATTTTTCATTAATAGTAAAATTGATGATCTTGATTTAATTCGGATTATTAAACTTTGTTTAATATATTTATTGTTTGATTTAGTTTTATATTTAAGTATGTATTAATAAATTTATGTCAAGATATCTTAAGATATATTTTTTTTTTCTTAATTGGAAATTAATAGGCTCCTATATAATCCAAGAACAAATATCATTATATATCTAATTGATTATTATTACTAACTTTTAATATATATAATTTTTTACATTTCAAGTTCTGTTCTAACGATATAAATTTTTTCAATTTGTATTTCTCTGATGAAAAACCATTGATATTAATATTCCTATCAATAATTTTATACTATAATTTTAAATTTTTTTTTATTACTAATTTGATCAATAATAATGGCTCTTTGAATTCGTAGCTTCTCTTTTCCTTTATTCTTCTAATACTAAATCGCTTCTTATGAATTCGTGTCCGTAAGATATATTATCTTTTAATTTTTAAATTCACGTCTATCAATTATTTAATGTATTCAAATCTCTATTAATCTTTTTCTTATTTTCTATCTATTTTTATCCATAAGCAATTTTTCAATGTTCTCTCTTCTATACAATTCTCTTTCATTTTTTGTTATCAATTAACTATTCAAATATCGAGACTTATTAAGATTTTGTTATTTGATCTATTAATTATCCATAGATAACTTATTTTTCTTATTATCTTTAAAATTACGTCATTCAAATTGATTATAATATTTAATTATATGCAATCTTGTAAACTTAATCTACATTATAGCATATACAGTTATTTTGTGAATATGCTATATGTTAGATGTCAAATCTAAATCTTAATTTAAAACGATCAATCTATAGTTTGTTCTCATAAAGTAAATAAATAAAATTTAAATTGAAAACTATCTAATATTAGTATTATAAGAAATCCTTTGTATTAGTAATAACTCAATATGCTCTTATCTTTCTTTTACTCAACTTCATTAACTTTTAGATCTTATTTAATCATTTTTAAAAAAATATATAATTTATTTAAAAAATATCTGATATTTTTTTAATTTTAATTCTTTAAATATTATATTATTTATTAATGATTAAATTTTATTTATAATTTTTAATTTTTCTATATCTTTTTTTATATTATAAATTAATAATATTAATTTTATAATTTTAATATATTCAATAAAGTAATGTAGTATTTAACTTAAAATTTTTTAATCAAAATTATCTTTTATTATAGCTTATAGAATTTTTTTAATAATTTTTAAAAATTTAAATTTAATATTTTATTATCAAATTTTTTTAAATTTTTAATTTATATATAAAAAAATTATTTTATTTTTAATCATCTTTATTAATTAATCTTTAATATTTTTTATTCATTAGTATAAAAATATTTATTTTAAAATATATAAATATATATTAAAATTATATAATAATCAATCTCTTCGCAAAAATAATTTGAAAACATTACATTAAATTTTAATAAGGTGTTTAATCTTATTGTATCCTATTATTTTTTTATATTTTTAATTACTATAATTTATAATTTATAATATATTCAAATTCTTTTTAAATTTAATCTATAAATTTTTTATTATTAAAAATATTAATTCATAAATAAAATAAAATAATATACTTACACTCTATGTTTTCATAAATTTTTTAATTTTATCTCTTAAAAGATAGGTGTTTGGTGATGGAGGTGATATATTTTAATAATTAACATTTAAATATTAAATATTAAAATTTTAATCTCTATATCTATTAATTATTCATTTTTTGATTTTTTATAAAATGTTTCTGTTCTTCTTTATATTTATTATAATTTATTTGAAATTTGATAATTTAAAATTTAAATAAATATTCAAAGATTTTATTAATATATGTTTAGAATTTATAATTATCAGTTATAATTATAATAATATAAAATTTAATATTAGTCTATATAATAATAAAAATTATATATTATAGATATATCTTAATTTAAAAACTTCTAGAATTTAATATATTTTAATATTATTATATTTTATTTTAAAAAATATATTTTTAATATCATATTTAAATTTAATAATAATAAACTATATTAATCTTTTTTTTATTTATAAATTATAGTTAGCATTTAGTACTATTAGTCTTAATATTCAACACGATGGGAGTTTACGTTTTATACCTATACCTAAACAAACACGGTCAGCAGAAATAGCAGAGGCAGAGACAATCTGTACAGAGTACCCATCTCCATCGGTGTTCAAGGCAACTGAGCATGCAAGGCCTGAAAATTGCTGCTGCCACAGTCCACTCCAGTTCATTTGACGTGCCAACAAGAATGTCTACACCACGTCAATCGTCATGTACAGTTGACTAGGCTAATCTATGATGTCCAATAGTTCAGCGTGCTGACTTTTTCAGAACGAGGTAAATCAATATCGATATGAATTGATTGAATATGGATATCTTAGATATTCAAATTATTTCCCGATCTCGATATACTCTAGGGCCTATCTCTCACTGTTTCCGCACTTTCTCGTGTCCGTTGCGTAAACACCTCGCTCCGCCATCTACCGGCTACGTATATAAACAACTTAGTTCATCGATGACCATTAGCATCAGAACCATATATACCAAATATATTACAAGAAACTTCTTATAGAGCTTCTTATAGTTAATACGCCTCTTGAATATAGTATATATTATATATATAGTGATATATATATTACAATCAGAGCCGCATTAAAAATATTTAATCGCTCTTGAATTACATGCTATAGATGTACTGTTCACTACTTGATAAGTAATAGTTTTCATGCAGCGTTACTGCTTCTCCTAATTCCATCCTATGAAATATTATCCGCTTATCAGGCAGCGAGTCTGATGACTTTTAGAGCAGCTTAGGGAGAGTGGATATACTTTTTAGTGATGTTTGTCATCGCCAATAACGTGCGCGCGTGCGGTGCAAGTCGCGGGAACACATTACCTATAGCTAGGACTAGGAGTATCTTGAGGTATGATGGGGGAGAGCGGGAGGAAGGACACGCCCTACAAAATAGGGTAGGTATGTGCTACTTGAGAGATGGAATTGGGGGCTCCCGTACTAACTCA